AATACTAAAAATGTTTATACTATTTAATAAGTACTCTTCTGTGACAATACTAACGTATTTTTTTCAAATGAGACCAACATTTTTCACAATTTTTTTTTTTTTTAATTCTTAATCTTGTAAATTTTTATAAAATGTAGATGTGTCAAAATTTGAACTTGTGGATTTTGGGATATTTATCTTTGTGTGTACTAGTAATAATAAGTCCACGGGCTTGGAGGAAATGCGGCGGAAAGCATGATTTTAACTGTTAGTAGGTAGGTAATCAATATTAATATACAACATTTCATAGTTTTTTTAAAAAAAATTTCCTAAAACCATAAATACTATATCCAATGTTACATCAGTTATATATTTTTGTAAAACTATTTTTAAGGGCTATAATTATCTCATGAGTATTATATACATTCTAGTAACTTGGAAACTACCGGTAAAATTTTGATTTAAATACATAAATATTTTAAAAAAGGGTCATCTACTTAATAATTTATATTAAAAAAGGTTGATTTTTATTTGAAAAAAAAGTTTTTATCACCACAAAACACTCCAAAAATTGTATACAAATTTAAATAACTGAAAATATAGTTCTTATAAGCATACTTGAAAATTTAAAAAATCCGAATTGAATAGTTAATTGAGTATTAAAATAAAAAAATGGAAGTAAGCATGCTTGGAAAATCACTCTATATAATATATATAGCATGTATAACCCTTTGTGGAATGACGGGACTTTTATGTCTGTGCCAAAATAAATTAATATAAGATTAAATACTAGTATACGACGGTTGTTATTGTCTGATGAGACTTCTATACCCATATTCTACATACAAAATTTATTATGGAAGAAAAAATGTTAGTTTTCATAATAAAAACACATTTTTTAATTTTTTTAATATTTTCATGTTTTCGTCTTGAAAGGAATAACCTAGAATTGATAAAATATTATTTACATACTTATTCATACGATTTAATACATTATTATAACAACAATTAGAATTAAATTCCTTAAAAACAAAATAAATATAAACAATCGACAGAATTTTATCCATATAACACCTACCGAATATTAAGAGAATTCATAAAAACATAATATATAATCATGAGTAATCACTATAAAACTAATAGAGTGATGCATGCGTATAAGAATTCCAAATTGCATATTTGACCTACATTTTTGAAGATCATTTTCTAAATAGTTCTTTTTAAAAAATTTAGGGTTATGACGGAAGTACGTAAAACTAGGTCAGTATAAGACTACTATAATATATTTCTCAAAATAATATATCCATTAACAGCACACGTTAAACGATTTAAGTACAGTTTAAGAATTCACGAGACAGTAACGATATAATTAAATTTAAGCAAAACGTACGTATTTATTTTTCAAGAATATGTGTCATAATCTAAACTACTAAATTAAAGTACCTACCGTTGTATTGTCATAAACCGCATGTATGACATTAAAGTTTAATGATTAAACTACATAAACGACAACGAGATAGAAGGCTGGGCGATGAGATCAAAGTGAAGCCTGAAATCACCAGCTTATCGTATACAGCGCAACATTGTCCTTATTACAACAAGGATATAATAATATAGTAATATGATTTAATTCAATACATTTTCATTATATTTAATTGACGACATTAATGTCTCTAATTTATTATTAGGTACGCCAATAAGAAAGTATAAACATAAAAAATATCGACTTTTATTATAGTGCGGGAAAAACATTATTACCTACCTATATTATTATAATGTCAATAAGACATTCAACGACTTTTAGCAATATTTAAGACCACTGGCAATAATATTATGACGTCATCCGCTGTTACCTCATTCCTAACGAAATAAACGCTAAGGCGTTTGGAATGCTATGATTTAAAAAAAAAAAAATCATCAAGCCAAAAGGATAATAATATTATATTATTTTAGTTCTGAGTGGAGCAACAATCCTACAGATCAGTGACTGTTAGCGTGGTGAGGCAAATGTGACAATCATTTTTTTTATGAAGCCTATCAATGTTTTATCACATTTAAACAATTGTTCATATCACTTGAAGACCTGTTTTATAATTGTAATTTTTGCAAAAATTTTTTATTTAAATACCTATTAGTTATTTTAACTAACGAACTATTACTCTAGGCTGAATCTAGTTAGGAGATGAGATCAAAGCGAAGCACGAAATAGCCGTGTACAGCTCAACGTTGTCCTAATTACAACAACAAAATAATATAATAATACGATTCAATTCAATCAATTTTCATTATATTTTATTGACGACATAACGTCTCTAATTTATTATTACTCGAATAAGAAACATAAACATGTCGACTTTTATTATTCTATGGATATACAATATTATTATAGTATTATTATAATGTCAATAAGACTTTCAACGACTTTTGGTAATTTTAAGACCATCGATATTATGATGACTTCCACTCTTATCTCATCCATGACAAAATACACGACACCCGTGGACTATGATTTAAATAAAAAAAAAACATCAAGCCCAAATGATAATAATATAATATTTTCATTTAGATTCTGAGTGCAGCTATGACACTACAAATCAGTGGCTGTTCGTGGGATGAGACAATTCTAGGATCACCTGTTTAATTTAAAAAGGGATGGTGATCAAATTCTACAATTATTTATACCATTTTAAGACTCGCGTTCTATAAATTATTACAATTATTTTTTTTCAAATGTTGGTTATTTCAAAGAAACAAATGATTAATCTAATAAATCATTTATAAATATATTATAGCATAACTGCAGTTTTGACGTCCTTTTTGAGAGTCTATCGATTGGTACAAAAACGTATAAAATAGCTTTGGGGGGTGAAAATATTGACCGTGGTAAACTTTAGTTTGTCTATCTACAGCAGTAATACGCTAAATGACACGATTTCACCAAAAGGTAAACGCCGTATCTTCCCAATTCGAAAAATATTCTTATCACATCTTATACTTTATTATACACATTTGTACACATTGTACGAATTTAGTATTCTCTATCACTATAATTTTGTGACTATACCGTGTTTTATAGTTATGGTTTTAAGCTTTTTTTTTTATCACATGAATTTTGGAAATATCCACAACTTTTTTTTTTATTTTTTATTTATTTTACAGTTACATTTAGGTATTATAATAATATGTTCACGAGATGCCAACAGCTCAAGTTAAAGCTAAAATTTCTATAAGTACTTATAATATTATGGTCATTCTCGATATTATGTCTTTAATGATTTTGACGAATACGTTTTTTCTAAAAAAGTAGGTATTAGGCGTATACCATACTAAATTATAGTTTTCTACCTGCATCTATGGTTAATGACATTTCATTCAGATTGTCTGACATTATAATGATGTAATATTCCATTTTGCAATGTCTGACCCATTGAATGCGATAATATCATTGATATAATACAATTTCGTCGATAAATAATATATTAATTATCTCAACAAAACAAATTATTAAATCGTATCATATTTTATGATTTTGTGTAGGTCATTGATGAGACTCGTCTTAACCTAAAACCAAAATGTAATAAAAAAATTAAAATTAAAACCAAACAAAAAATTAGAAAATTACTTTGTTAATTAAATGTAACTATGCAGTTGAACACAAAAACTATACAAACATTGACGGAAGTGACGTAAATATATAATAATATAAAAGTATATTATATAGGTTCCTATAGAAAGTGTTATGATATAAAAAATAATTAGAAATCAGTTCTTATAAACATATTATATTATAATATAGTATAATATGTATATAATATGTATATAATATAATATGATGTTAAAAGTGAGTTAAATGGGTTTCCAGTGGCATGTGTAATAGTGTACCTAATGAATAAGTATATAATATATTTTAGAATTCAAAACAATATACCTAGACACATTATCATATTATATATAGTGACCTGAAAATATTTACTTATTTAAATTGATGGGTTGGTGAAAATTATTTCCATTAGTAGTTATTTCCCCAATGTAAATTAATAAATCTTCATAAAACAATCAACGCATAGCTACATTTTTTTAGACTATAATTTATGTTTTATATAATATTATTTAACTTTATCCGCACAGAACAACAAAATAAATACATGGTACATATCCACGACTTGTGATATTATAATAACATTTAAAAAATAAAACCGTACGAATAGTCGAATAGGCGTCGATATGTTTCGATAGGCCTAGCGCGTTCTACTAGAAAAATTAATTATAATTGAAACAACAATGAAATATTATAATAATATTAAGTCGGACTATCGTTTAAAACGATTCATTTTTGTAGTTTCGATAAACCTCGGGTAAAATAATGCATAAAAATACACGCGTTTGCGTACGCGAAATACATAATAATATACGAAGTCCCACAAGCGCTGCAGTACAATATAACAGAAGTACGATTTTTTTCTATTCGACGAAAATATTTTGGCATTATTTGGATCAACACGAGCGCATCGACATCATCACCGTGGTTAGTAAAACATTTCGTGATTATAAGCTAAATATTTGCTCGAAAAGGAAAACGTTAACGTTATTTGTCTATAGTTTCGAGTGTTTGTTTTTCTTTACGAGGCGGACGAAATAATATTGCGAAATAACACGTTTATTAGTCGCCGGAGCGGGCGCGCGAGTGTGTAGATTTTGCGGAGGGCGGGCCCCGCCATAATATCCTAATGTGTTTATAAATATGAAATAATGGCCGTTTGTCGTCGTCGTCCCTTTGATGTCTCGGGAATACGGGAAAAATGATGAGGAGCCACGCCGCTTGTGATGTTAACGGCGGGCATGGCGTGGAGGCTGCAGCAGCGGGGCCCGCCAAAGTCGCAAGCGTAGAACGATTTGTGCGGTCTCGCGATTGTGGAACGGCGGCGGCGGAGGCGTGTGATCCAGTAACATAATTTTAAGCGTAGTGGCATGGGACGTGAGGGGGGTCCACAATTGTTTGGAGGGGGGGTGGTTTTGGAGAGATGCAGCAGCAGAAGCAGCAGAAGCAGCAGCAGCAGCAGCAGCAGTGGCAGCGGCAGTGGCAATGGTACAGGCGATGCTGTAGAGGAGATGACTGGTCGGATTGGTGTCAAGGAATGGTGGTGGACGAGAAAGGGTGGACAGCGGTAGCAGGGGGTGGGAGCCGTTTTAATGTAGGTCAAAAGGACAAGGCGTCCCCCCCTACGTCCACTCACCCACTCCTCGCCTTTTCGAACGCTCACACACACGAGCGCAGCGCTTGTGCGCGCGCACACACACTATACAAACTGGGAATGCATTGGCAGAGACCACCCTAACCTCAATAGTTCTCATCTTCTTCCCCGCCGCCCTTCATCACCACCACCAAATCCTCCCCATGCCCTCATCCCGGCCACCTTTAGTCTCGATGTTTATCCCAACTGACACGGTTTGGTTTGCCATCTTCCTGCTACCTCCCCCCCCTTGCACACCCATACCACCGCACACATCCCGCCACACTCGGATTCTCCCGATCCCGCCGACCGCGCTTTATCTACCAAATCTGTCCCATAAAGTTTTGCCCGTTTGCTTCGACGTGTCCAATAATAATGGTAATAATACGTTACACGCTACACCTCGGGTACTCTGTCTTTCTTCTTATAAGTATCCTATGACTCGCCACCACCACCGCCACCACACCGCATTCCCCGTCTCCTATCGTCCGCAGACACACACTCCAAACTGCAAATGTATTCCATCGGTTAATCGATAATTTCCCTTTTTTATTTTTATTTTTTCATATATATACACGTATGTGTGTGCAGTATGCGCGTGTTTATTTATTTTTCTTGCCACCGCTCACTCCTCTATCCGTGGCGGCTCTCTGTCTCTGTCGTCTCCATATAATATATTATATTCTCTCGCACGTATATATAAACATCCATGCTCATACTTATCTCGTCCTTCGCCGTTGAATATAGTGACTATTTCCTATTTCAAACAGGTCGTCTCCGACTTGATGAGATGAACGACGCAATGTGCTTGACGTCCAGTCTCACCGACCACGCAGATTGCTCTTTTAATGTGTCAACATAAATCACACACGCACGTCTTGGAAAGAAAAAAAATAATTGGTTATGACTTATTCATTAAAACTTAAAAGTGTGTAGCTCGTTTGAAATCTAAACGGATATAGATGTATGATACGTAAATAATATAGCGTTAAAAACAACCGTAATTAAAATGTTTGAACCCGTATATTATAAGTTTATATAGTAGGTATAGGTAGGTACATTTATATATGCTATAATAATATTATACAAACTAATCTCATGAAAACAACTAACGACCGTTCAAATACGAACTCCCGCACCGTCATCCATATTTTAAAAATTACTATAATTAATTTTTAAAACTCAGTCAGAGTCAAGTTGATGTGTGCTTCAGGTTAACTACCTACTAGTATATAAATGGGAAACAAAGTTTTCAAAAGTTTCTACGAAATAATTTGCACTTAAGATTTTCTTCTGAAAATCGAAACTTTAGACACCTATCTTCTGAAATACTTGATGAATTCGCAGAATACTCAGAAATAACTATGTCTCAGATTTGCTTTTTAAACTTCCTAATGGTCGTATTTTAGGCCAAAGTTTCGTATTTATAAAGTTATACCTAGCTGAGAATTTCGTGCGGAGTTTAATTAATTGAAATTTTAATTTTTTGTTCAAAAAGGATCGGGTCTTCGAAATAATATTTGAAACTGGGCGATTCTTGATGTGACAAAAAAACACGCACACTATTTCACTATGAGTAATATTCAACTACCAATATGGTAATTAAGTTTTTGATCTATGTGGTTGTTTGACAGGCTGTCGACCCAGCGTGCTGTACATTTGTATTTACTGCATATGCATATTCCGAATAAATCATTCAAATGACGACACAAAACCACCCATAACCAATTACATACATGTCGTACACAGGAGACTAATTCTAATTAAAACTATATGCTTAAAAATGAACGTTGTATTATCAATATAATAGTTGGAAAACAAAATGCATGTTTTATAAATCTAACGTTTGGCGTGTATAGTGTAAAATGTTATATTTATCGTGGAGTTTAAAATAGTTTTGGTTTTATGAAAATTAAAAGCAATTCAAAACAAACCTTTTATGAAGATATTAAATGAAATGCAATAAAATGACGTTTCATATTATTATAAATCACCTAAAATGTAGCTTAGAAAATATTCTGTTTGCAACATTATAATAGCATTATATTATAATGTACTTACTGCAGGTTACTATAGTAATTATATGTTATTATATGGTTATGATAATATTATAATCATAATAATATGACTAAGTAATGAATGAAGAAATATTTTTGTTCTGCGAATTAAAAATATAATGTCAAGATTCAATTATATTCAATATTATCAAACCGAAGTGGTATATAGTTTGTATTTAATTTTTGCAACAAAAAAGTTTAAATTGGTACTTACCAAAAGTCTTATTATTAATTAAATCCACCTATACAACTATACTGAAAGGGCCGTTTTAAATCACAACAATAATGCCGTATACGTTATAAGCAGTAAATAATATGATGTTCCATCAAGCAATTCAACCATTTAAACATTTTGCCCCTATATTATATTATTATTCGTATAAAGTGTACAGTAAATTTTTTGCGGGTATGTAAATGCATTACAATTGTATACGCCCATAAGGCCACTGCAGCATGCGCAATATTGAAGCAAACCATAAGTACATAATTTTACTACTCTCATATCAATTCGAATTTATTACATACATCAATTGCTCAGGCTGGTATCCAGGATTTTATTAGGGAGTGGGTATTTTAATTGTATACTTAACTATATTAAATATATACTTGTGGGGAAAAGGGGGGGGAGGATCACAGAACGGGGTTCACAAACTCCCTGTTATAGGACCTTCATAATAATAATATTACAATTAATATGAAATAGAACCATGATATGCGACAACATACTTTTTTAAGATATCTAAAGCATAATATTATCATTTATTATCTTTAATATATTATTTTTTTCATAAAAACAGCTGTTGCAACACCCAAAACAACCATCTGGTTATGCGACTGCATTTTCTAAGTTTTTTCCTACCTATTCAAACGCATGTTTATAACATATATGTTAGCTACAATATTATATTATAATAAACTATATAAGATGCTAAACAAAAAATAGTAATTATTGATAATTTGACTCCTCTCCCATCCTTAACAAATTCCTGGTTACACCACTTGAAAGAGAGTACGAAATGTAAATAAATTTGAAATATATAAGTATAAATGTATGAAACACTTAGATGTTTTTTTTTTTTAAATTGACTCTATAATTATAGTAATTATTATGTACTGCATTCGTCGTAATTGTACCTATTAATATTTATTTATTTTTATTGAAATTAAAAAATTATTACAAAGTTCAAATAAATATAGAATATGGCCAACAAATTCGAAATTAATATTTTAATTAATGAGACGGATTATAATATTTAAATTATGAAATATGTGGCTCTCCGTGAGACTATATAGTTTTCAAAAACTATTTAACCCTTTTAATTATGTCTGATATTCTCTTTTGATAGTTTATCAAATCGAAGTCTTTAAAGTTATATAAATCCCTTTTTTAATTAAACATTTTAAGAATAGAAACTAACACGTTTATTTACTAATATAATATGTATTAGGTATACTTGCATGATAAATGTTCTTGTGTGCACTGTCTTTCGTTACCAATAATGCTTAATTATTTTTAAATATATTTTAAATATACTTTTTATATGGGTGCTTAATGCTTATGGCATAGCACTTATTAATGGTTCGAGAGAATAATATTTAACTTGATTTAATACTTTAATAAGAGATTACGAAGTAATTTCTAAGAATTAAAATACTAATTTAATAGGTATAACTTATAAACCGTCAGAGTCTTGTGCTTGTTATAATATTATTAACTAATTATAATAAAACGTTCGTTTTTGTTGGTTGGCTTATTCAATGAAACCATAAATGTTCATTGTATACGATATTATGTAAATAAATGTATAAACACAATTAAATAACTTAAATGTATAACAACTATAAGCATATATATTATGTATAATAATATACTATTTATATTTGTTTCCTTTCATAAAATTATAATAACATTCAAATAATGTTAAAATATTACATAAAATCTGAACATCCCATACACCGGGTACACAATACACATTATTATTGCATTATAAGAATTGTTATACTAGCTACCCATACATTTTGTTATAATGTTATTAAATTACATTTAAATATAACGCTTATCATCGAATTTAAAATATTTAATTTGAGAGACGCTTTATAGTTTGACATGTTTTTCTCATTTCGATCGCAAATATAATAAGATAACATGAAAAAAAAAATAATAGTACATACTATATTGTATTGACATTTTGTTACCACTTTCCACACATAATATAATTCAATTTAAAGTACGCTAAATAATAAGGTCACGGTAATTTCACAACTTTACGTGTTCACTGTTCAACGTTTTCTTTTGAACAGTGATCGAAGAAACGACTGAAGGTTTACTGTAGCTACCTATACATAGGTAGGTAATCACCACTACCAAACTGATTTTTGGCTTAGTTCAACAATTGATACCGAGTACGAATAGTAGTAAATACGATGTTGTCGTACAATCTTACACGAAATAATAAAATATCATAACAAACGGTTTTGTAAAAAACATTGTTGGATAAGATAATTTCTGCAGATGTTTAGCATCGGGCTTTATAGACATTATTGCATTAAGATTATCGCGGTAAAAGAAAAATACTATTTAAAAAATAAATAATATGTGTTGATAGATGATTTATGAACTCATAACAACGACTAAGTACAACCAAAGTCGATTTCGATAAGGACTTGCGTACACCATTAAATTTCTTTAGTTTGCAATTATTGTTCGATAGTGTTTAACCTTACAGTTGTGTTGATAAAACTAGTAAAAATAACACTTTTAAAGCACTATCAAGATCAAATTTCTATCCAATACCCCGTAGTTAAGTGTATAAAACTTCAGAGCTCTCCTTTCAACCAAAAACCTGGTATTATTATGACATATTACAACTTCTACTAACTAAAGATTAAAAACTCGCGTGAACC